CCAAACAACTATAAGAAAGTCATGGGAATTTATAAGAAAAGGATAAAGACTTCCAGCCTGAAATGTTTTCTTTAAAGAAATAAGAATGAGAGAGGGGAAAGGATGCAAAAGGGAGGGATGTCAAGGGCAAATAACTGGACTTCCATCCAAACCAGCAAAATACCACTAATAATGTTGTTTTCTGTCCCACAGATTTGTGCTTACTTTGGACAAAATTATGATCCTGAAAAACACAACTAATAATATTTTGTGAGATAGATACCAAAGCTCAGTTTAGCATTATTATGTTGCTCAGTGGTGCTATGAGTTTTGTAAAAAGCAGTATTCCATTATATAAAATTTTTAAAGTCAGAGAATTCTTTTCAGGGTAAACTGCATAATAGAAATTTGCTGTAGTGAAAGAACAGTTTAAGAGGCATTAGACGAGGCCTCCCGCCTGCCGCCCGCAGCCCGAGAGCCCCGGTTTTGACAGACGTCACCAAAATGCCATCCCAAATGGAACACGCCATGGAAACCATGATGTTTACATTTCACAGATTTGCCGGGGACAAAGGCTGCTTAACAAAGGCGGACCTGCGAGTCCTCATAGAAAAGGAGTTCCCTGGGTTTTTGGAAAATCAAAAAGATCCTCTGGCTGTGGACAAAGTCCTGAAGGACCTGGACCAGTGCTGAGACGGCACAGTGGTCTTCCAGAGCTTCCTTTCACTAATCGCAGGCCTCACCATTGCGTGCAATGATTATTTTGTAGTGCACATGAAGCAGAAGGGAAAGAAGTAGGAAGAATTGAACATTTACTCCTGCCCAGATGAGAGTTCTCCCAAAGGGCTACTTACGGAATCTGCCCCTCAGTTTCCCTGTGTATAAAGATTTCATGAGCAGATCAGGACCCTTAGAAAATGTACAAATAACATCCAACTCGCATTGGACAAGCAGAGAAAGGAAAGTTAGTTAAATGCTAGATAAGCTTTTGATTTTTATATTGTTTGCATATTCTTGCCCTCAATAAATAAAGTCTTTTTTTTTTTTTTTAAAGCATTAGACGATGTCTTGATAATTTCAGATAATGAATACTGCAGTTCAGCTAATAGGTCTAATGGGAAAGGATGATTAATGTACCCATTATTTGGGGTCTTACTTTGTATCTGTTTTCTGCTTATGCATCTATTTCCTGCAAAGAATTTAAAGTTTCCAAAGGTATGAGCTGTATGAAGATCTTGGTCATTTTTTTATACCTAAGCCCAGTGAAGGGCCTTGGTTCTTTGTTTTTTTCTGCTGGGTACCCAGGATCAAACTCAGAACCTTGAGCTTGCCAGGCAGGTGTGGCGCCACTGAGCTAAATCCCCGGCCCCAGTGAAGGGCCTTGGAATTGGAGGTACTCTGTAAGTATTTTTGAAGAAATTTTAAAATTTATTTAAGCAACACTCTATATTTCAGTTAAAAGCTTTAGCTACATTTGGGCTTGTTATGAAATGAAAAATTATGGCATTCAAACAATTTAATTAAAAATAATAATAGCCAAGGTAGATTATTTAGTGTAAAACAACTCCCCAAAAGACTTGGAGCATAAACTATGAATATGGAAGACTATGTTAAAAGAGAGTTACCAGTAACACATGGTGTATTAAGAGAGGATGCCAACAACACATGGAACGGTGTGTGCTTGGGTTGAGAATAGTAAGGCACATGATGGTTGGTTTTGGCTAAAGTGCACGATGTGCTTAGGCAAAGCATGGAACTTGAGACATTTGGAAAGGATCATGAAGGACCGGGACACGTGTCCTCTTCTCTCTATGGAGGAGGTCAGGCTAAATCAGGGGTCAGCGCCTTCCTATAAAGGACCAGAGAGGGAATCTGTTAAGGAATATGTAAAATGACTACAGGCAATAGCACCATCCCTAGATAAGGAAATGCCTGCAGCATTTCTTAACTGCAACCCCCCACTTGAATTGGGCCAGGTGTCCAAACAAAAAAACAATTACCATGCCTTGCTAGCAAAAGTACACATAGACCTGAAGCTTCCATAAATCACATTGATAGAAAAAATTTTAAGTAGCTTAGTAGATTGACTATGAAGGTAATTGTAGAAGCAAAATAAGTAGTGTGTTCCTTTAAGATTTGCTTAGTAGTGTATTCCTTTAAGATTTGCTTTTTTCTGTTGCTCTAGAAGTTTAAGGTGTTAACCAGTAATTTAATTACAGATAACATTTTAACCTAACAAAGTTGCAAATGCCTAAGTGAATTTACAATGTAGATGTGCCTATCTTGTGTCTGTGACTTGTAGGTAGGAATTGTATTTACATATCAAAGACCACAAGGAAGGAGATACTGACTAACAAAAGTATAAAGCAAGAGACTAACAAAAGAGGAGGTGGACTTTGACCAGACCAGTTTCTGGCGGTCTCACGGGCTTGCAAGTAAATCTTCATGGTTTTACCTGAGTTCTGTGTCTTTGAGCATTTCTTTCCAAGATTCCTGTAACAAATCTTGTTAGCTTCGAAGGCCAGGAGGCTTCTGTGATAGTTCTTTAGCTCTACGTAGCTTCATGGGTGAGAGGAGCCGCGCATGCGGGCAGGTCAATTACTCATTTAAGATCATGATTCACTGTATATAAACCATTGCTATTCTCTAATTATTTTGTTATGCAAATTTATTTTTTTATAGAAGTAAGAGGTATTTTATATTTACTTTATTAATATTTACTTGTATTATGTTAAAATTAAAAAACATACAGGGGACCAGATTTGTCCTGTTGGTCATGGTTTGTGATCCCTGAACTAGAAGATATGTAATTCAATATTCTACATTCAGTGTCCTTTATCTGTAAGTGTTGACATGAGCCTACATAAATTTCCTGATTTTCCAAACTCATCGGACATCTGTCGAGAAATGTGACTGATGGGGAAATTCACAGGCAAATTTAGGCTTATGATTCAACTTTTAGCTAAACGTGTCCATATTCTAGAGTTCTATATATATATCATCATGTATATATGAAATATTGTGGCACAGCTTGATGTAGTACTATGACTAATTTTATAGTAGGTCCATTTTTATAGTAATGTACTAGCTTCTTTATTAATCCAATGAACAGTGAGATCCAGCAAAGGTCTAACAATGACTGTAATTTTTTAAAAAATTATTTTATTGGTACATTTTAGGTATACAAAATGTTTACATTTATCATTGGGTGCTTGTACCTGTACATGATGTATCTTGGTTCTTATTTTTTCCTCATTCCCTGTGCACCCTTCACCCACTCCACCCTTTCCTGTGGGACTGTGTGATTCAAAAGTTAATTACTCCCCTAGGTTCTGTTGTAAATTTGATGGTTGGAGTGTGTTTGCCTCGGGACAATGGACAATCAGTAATAGGGCGAGATTACTCAGCCATCTGTTTGCCCTAAAACCAAATGTCCCGGGGCCCAGTATCTATAGGACAATCTGTAAATGTGCTGACTGTCCACACAGGGTGGTCCTGACTATTAGTCAGGATGTCTGCTGACCATCAGCATGTGACAGTGAGCCACTAACCTTTGTTCTTTTCTTTCTGTAAATCTACATGTTAACCCCCCCCCAACCCCCTATAAAACAGCCTCGGACTCTGAGCCAGTTGCCTCTCTGAGCTATTTTGCTTCGGGAGTGCCGTCTGGCCAGACTAATAAAGGTCTGTTTCCCAACTTGGCTGGTGTGTTCCTTCCCGGGTGTTCTTCGCTGTAGCCAGCTCCTTGGAGCGTTTGGTAAGACTCTTGGTCTTACATTCTGAAGGCACCGCTGGGATTCCTGGATGTGCTCCACTTCAGCTCTTTGGAGCATTGGGTAAGGCCCTTGGCCTTGCATTCTGGAGGCACCGCTGGGATCCCTGGGTGTGCTTCACTATAGTCAGCTCCTCGGAGCGTTTGGGTAAGGCCCTCGGTCTTACATCCCTATTTACATAGATTTCTTTTCCATATTTTTTCTTTTCTCATAATTTTTCCTTTCCCTCTTCCCTTTCCCCTTCCCCTCCCACCACCCCTATCCCCCTGGACCTTTTCCTATTTCAAATTATTTATTAATCATTTTCATCCTTATTTATACTTTCAGTTTCTCACACTAGAGAAACTATTCGGTATTTACACATGTGTGTCCTATTTATTTCACTTAAGAGTATGGCCTCAATATGCATGCATTTAGCTATAAATGACTCTAGTTTCTCATTCTTTATGGCTGAGTACTACTCCATTTTATTAAAAAACCACATCTTTATCCAGTTTCCAGTTGATGGGCACTTGGGCTCTTTCTAAGCTTTAGCTATTACAAACTGTGCCACTATAAACATGAGTGCACATATATCACTGTGGTATGATTCTTTTAATTCTTTGGGGAAGATTCCCAGCAGGGGAATGGCTGGATCAAATGGGACCTCTAGCCCTAGTTCTTTGAGGTATCTCCATACTGATTTCCACAGTGGTTGCACCAGTCTGCCCTCCTGCCAACAATGGAGCAGGGTTCCTTTCTCCCCACACCCCCTCCAGCATTTGTTATTGGTTGATTTCTTGATAGCAGCCACTCTTTCTGGGGTGAGGTGGAATCTGTGTTTTTTTCATCTGCATCTCTCGAATGACCAGTGATGTTGAACATTTTTTCATATATTTATTTGCTGCTTTTACTTCTTTGTCTGAGAAATGTCTGTTTATTTCAGATGCCCATTTTTGACTTGGGTCTTTAGTGATGAATATGTAACATTTTGAGATTTCAGCAAAAACATCACTGTGATATGAAAATATGTGATTTTTAAATTTTAATGTAATATAAGTAGGTATTAATGAAAGTATAAAAAGCACTCTTCTATGAAAAATGAAAGAAAATTTCAGGAGGAAATAATTAGAGAATATCAATAGTTAATACACTATATACCATGATCTTAAAAGAATAGCCAAAATGTTACTCAATAGATTCATTCTTTTTCATGGGTGGGGGGTGGGGGGGTGGTTTTTTTCTTTTTGAGACAGGGTTAGGCTGGCCTCAAACTCATGGTAATCCTTCTGCCTCAGCTTCCTAAGTTCTGGGATTACAGGTGTGCGTCACCACACTTGCCTAATAGATTCATTCTTAATAACTACAAAATATAATTTTAATAAGCATGTTCAAACACATATAGAAAACCCTCCTATGGAACTTTATCGCAACATAAATGCCTTAAATTTATTTATCTTCTTATCTATTAGAGGGCAAGGGACCAAAGTAAGTCACTCAAATGTCAGGACATTTATATAGCACCAGAAAGCTAAACACGCACAAAACTCTACATTTGCCATTCTCACCATCTGAGGGTTTCACCTGTAAAATTCTTGTTTTTTACTGGTACAATTTAGATATACATGATGATCACACTCATCATAGGGAAGTTGTACCTCTGCGTGATATATCTTGATTCTTCTTTTTTTCCCATTCCCCTTGTATACATTTCCCTGATCCGGTTGCAAGGCCACTGAAGGGGGGAAGCTTTTTAAAAGAAATTTAAAAATTGTGCTAAAAATAGAAAGGTTTCTATTCTACTTGAAGGAAAGCACCTGTCAGTCAAAAGGGTTAAGAGTGGGCACCAAGGGGCACTTCCATGAAGGAGCGCTGTAGGGATCTTGTTTGCACTGGCGGCCAGCTTTGAATGCCAGTTTACTTAGGACCTGGCAAGAAGCAGGGGTAGTTTCCCAAGACTGGAATCCAAATAAACTTTCCCCAGCTAATAGCATAGTGTAAGGAGGGCTGGTCCAGTTTTCACCTGTGACTCACTATTTTTATGATTTGGGGATTTAGTTCTTTTGAACCTCAATTTCCTCATCTGCAACATGGGAAGAATAATCCTCTCCTGGGAATTGTTGGAAAGTGTCCAGATATCTGTATAAAGTGCTGGATATGTAACAGGCACTCAATAAAGGCAGCTCTGAGCTTCATAGCACTTGGCTGCCCAGGAAAACTAGTACTTGTCCCAGAACCATAAAAACACTCTTCTGATACCAAAAAGGAAAGAAAAAGGAAACATGAACAGCTCTTTAAGACAAGCAAAATCATCTTTCTACCTATCAAAGAGACTAGCATGGTGAATTGCATGGAACTGACGTTCAGAAGCTTTGCCAGAAGGTGGAAGTCTAACAGGAGAGATAAATGTGCTTTATCTACAAGCTGGAAGGTAGTGAAAGACTTTCTCTTTAGGGGCTAGGAATCCCTCCATGCAAAGTGGGTTTCAGTGGAGGTAACAGTTCTGTGGACTGTAGATTATTACCCTGCCGCACCTACAGCCCCGAGCACGGTCCTGCGAGTTTCCGGCATTTCTCTTTGGGGCTCTCTGGACAGCTCTGTGTTTTTCCTCTGCTACTGCAAGGCCTGCTCCAAACCTCACCTGCTCCTGTCCTCTCAAAGCTTTTCTGTCAGGTGCCAGCTGCCAGAGTTCTGCTTCAAAGCCGCTGTGAGATGAAATTCCTGGAGACTCCAGGCCCACTGGCGGTGGTGGGGAAGCCAGGGACACACAAAAGGGCTCTGGCTCAGCCGCTTTCCAAACCCACAATCCGTGAGTCACTTTAGGTTGGCTCCAAGAGCTCCTGGGGGCGGGAGGTCGCCTGACCAGTAAGCATTTGGTTCTTTGAGGGGTCACAGTGTCAACAGGGAGTCTGTCTGGGAGGGGTTAGCCTGATTTTCAATCTGTTATTTCTCTTCCTGTGCCTGCCACTTCCTGCCCCAGCCTCCTGCCACATCCTGGTGCCCAGCTGGGTGGAGGGCGAGGGATTCTTCTGTCACATAATTAATGGATGCTGAGATGGGTCCTTTCAAGGCAGCTATTGTAAAGACTCCAAAAGCAAGGGCAGGATGGAGGTCAGAGGTCACACACCCTACTCTTTGCCAAGGCTTAGCCAAGAGAAATGAAGTGGGGAGCAGAACATAGTCAACAATCGATGATACCACATCTGAACAGAAGAAAGGAGAGAACCAGGGAGTAAGGAACGGACAAAATGACTGAGCACCAGCTTCTCCTGGAGGCCGAGATTTGCTCCTGGGGGTCTGCTCCTTACCCTTCTGCCCAGGGCCTTCCATCCTAAATAGGCAGTGGCCATGGCACGTGGCAGTAGGTGACAGCCCTTGCACTTGCAGGTTTGTAGCAGCATTATTCATAATGGTCTCAAGGTAGAAGCAACTCAACTTTCCATCAACAGTGAGTGGATAAACAAAATATATGTGTGTTTTTTTAGGGGCTATGAAATGTGACCAGGGGAAGAGTACACTTGGGTGTGTGCGCACGCACACACACACACACAGCAGTATTACTCAGTGTTACACAGGAAGGGAATTCCAACACTGCTATAATATGTTTGAACTTTGAGGATATTATGAAAAGTGCATAAGCCAGTCACAAAAGGATAATCACACTATAATTCCACTTACGTGATACCTAGAGTGGTCTTATTTATAGAGATAGAAAGAAGACTAGTGGTTGGCAGGGGTCGGGGAGAGAGGAACAAACAGTTACTTTTAATGAGTATAGACTTCCAGTTTTTCAGGATAAGATTTATGTAGAGGGATGGTAATAACAGTTGTACAGTGGTGTGAGTGCCACTAAACTGTACATTGGAAGTGGCAGAGATGGGACATTTTTATGTATTTTACCACAGTTTTTTTTAAGTGAGAGATGGTCTGGAAGATTATCATTTTTCATAGCAGCAGGTGACTGGGTACACGTGAATCCTGTCCCTGAAGCATGTGATGTCTAGTGATTCTTTTTTTTCAGAGAAAGGAAAATATAAAAAGATTTTTTAGAATTTTTAGGAATTTTTTAATGGAAGTGTCTTCCATTGGTGAAAAGTCAGCACTTTGCTGCCATGATGATGCTTTCCTGAGCAGTGATGAACAGCCCACCCCATGAAGAAGGACCACCATGAGAATGGCCAAGGGGACCAGATGTGAGCACAGCGTGTGGCCCAGGCACAGTGTGTGTGGGAAAAACCCAGAAAGAGAAAGGGATAAAGTGAGGGGGAAATGGAGAGAATAGGGAATGGGAAGCAGAAAGCCATGTGTAAGGGAGGCAGAAGAATGTAGAAAAGGCTTTCTGCTGTGGAGGATTGTGAACCCCAACAGCAAGAATAACAAAGACTTTGAAACTTAAGAGTCTGTCAGCAGAAGAGCTCAGTGGAGAAGTCACTGCAGAGTAAAACAAGACGAGACAGATTTTTCTGTCCCCCCCACACTGAGCAAAACAACACTAGAGGAAGAAACAGAGGCAGGGATGCTCTCCATCTCTGACCTGTAAGATCCCACAACTCTCGAGGAGAAAGGAGGCCTCACCAACATGCTGCTCTCTAGAGAACAAGCTTTCCGGCCAGAACCACCTGGAGGGTTTTTAGAACGAGAAATGGCCACACCCAGAGACTGCTCTGTGGTGGCGTTGGGTGGAGTCTGAACACCTACATTTCTGGTAAGTTTCCAGGTGGTGCTGAGGCCCCTGGATTAAGGCCCACTCTTTGCAAACCATGACCTTAGAATGAAAGAGGGAGAGGATATTAGTGATTGGCTGAGTACATTCAAGGTTTTCTCAAGTGCTTAAAAAGGAAGGCCGAATCAAGAACTATAGGGAGAGACTGTATTGAATTTATATTAGGTAAATTTATCCACATTTGGTTTCTTTAAAGGCCAGGAACTTTATAGTCAGAACTGGGCAACATGGCTTTCTAGCAGTATGCCTTGGTCAAGTTACTTAGCCCTATTCTCCTCATCTGTAAAATTGGGCTAATGAGTACTGACTCAATGGGATTTCTTGGAAGATTGTGATTGATGTAAGTTGGGGAGGTGCCTCAGTGGTTCAGTGTTTGTGTAGCACGTATGAAGGCCTGAATTCGACCTCCCAGGACTAAGGCTGATGCATGTACGGGACTCAGCACGGTAGCAAGGCACAGGGTAAGGAGAGCATGCATTTCTTTTCAGTATCCCAGTATCCATCTCTGTTCCTCCTTTGTCAGCCCTAATTACCTGTCCACTACTGTATATAACCTTTTGAAATCTGAATCTTAGAAACAAAGCCAAGATAATAACCTGTCATTCTGATCCTTTCAACTTACCATGGAAACCAATTCCTCCGGTGGCAGGAGATTTATAGACAGAAGTGTAAGGATATATATTTCCCTCATGGAAATGTCTAACCCATGAGTATTCCCTCCAGTGGTTACTGAAGGGGGAGAAAGATAACTCCAGAGGCTTTCTGAGTGAATTAATTAGCTTGCAATTGCAATATTATGCACTGTCTTGTATTCATAGCCCTCCATGAGAAGTGTTGCAAGGGAAACAAAGGGTTTCTGTCCTTTAATTGGATGAAAAGCTGAAGCTAGATAAGAGGGAGTGTAATTTTTTATTATCTAAAAATTCAATAAAGAATTAATTTGGGAGGAGACTGGTATTTCAATAAGGCTGAAATACATGACCACTTTTGGCTCTCTTCCGTTAGAAGATGTACTTACAGTTGAGAAATGACTGGGTTAATGGTTTCCTTTAATACACCACACAGCCATGTGTCAGGACTACTAGACCACATGCTACAGTCCTTTGGGATGCAAATCTTTGCCTTCTGTGACCCCAGAACCCGTTGTTTAAAATCTTAAGAAGACAAGCTTTGATCTGTGTGGCTCCGTTCCACAGGGTTCTCCCTCGGCATCCAGCGACACATAAATGAGCTGTGTGCTCTCCGGGTCGGAGCTTTTCATTCTGTTTTTTAAATGATCCCCCTTTCAGTGGCTTCAAATAGCAGACACCTCTGGACTAGACATCGTCCTCTCTCTCCTTGTGAACAGAATTTTCTCTTCTACATAATGACGCGCTTCAGGGGAGGCCGACTCCAGGTCCAGCTCTGTGTGGGGGTGGGGGTGCTATTTCGTTGCACTGATTGACACGTGATGACATGATTCTGGCTGATTAAGAAGATGGCAGGCTGAGGGAGACATATGGGAAGCTTTTCTGCACTCTTAAAGGAACACATGAGGCGGAGGTAGCCTTTGCTGTTGTGTGTGCTTTATGAGTTAGAGTTCTTCAGGAGAAGAGAATCTAGGGCATTCATAGATAGGCTTACAGAATCAGAGGCGGGGTAGTGCACAGTGGAATGACCCTCTGCACACTGGAAGACCAGAGGGTCTGGAAGCTGGAACCTGCAGAACAAGGGAACTTGAACATGCAGAGCCAGCCCAAGACTGAAGGTCTGGAGGCTCTCTGGAGAATCGCTGGTGTGTCTTCACTGAGCTGCTGAGGAACTGCAGTCTGATGTTCACAGGCAATGGCCATAGCAAAGGAGGCACCGACTCAACTAGAATGGTGATTTTCAAAACACAGGCTGACCTCTTCTCTTCCATTCCATCTCATCACAAGCCAATAGGATGGTACACCCACAAGCAGGGCAAGTTGTCCCCCTCCATTCGCTGGCTCGCATGCCAGTCATCTCTGGAAACATCCCACAGACACACCCAGAATCCGACAGGCATCTCTTGGTCCTGTGAGGTTGACAGTCACAGTTAGCCATCCTGTTTGTTTGTGCTTGCATGTGATCCAGGATTGGGACAATCACAGTACAACCAGAAGGGTAACTGACCTACCAGATGGAAAGACAGGACCTAAACATCCAAGACCAGGAGAGTCACTGAGGGGTTGAATCAGGGATCCTGGAAACAGCCTTCTTGAAGGCTCTTTGGCAAATGAGAAAACAGAATTTCCTATTATCTGAGCTTCTTCAGGTTTGGTTTTCAGTTACTTACAGACAGCATTTTCCTAACAGCCATCTATAGGAAACCCATCCTTTGAATGGATGAAGTTTTCAGAAAAGATTCCAAAGAGAGCTTGCAAACGAGAAACTTTTGAAGGTGATGAGTGACGCTGTTATCTTGATAGTTACCATGGTGTCCTGAGCCTCAACCATTGCCACAGTTCACTGCACTGTCTCCTCAGCGTGTGTGGTCTGCTGTCAGTTAACCACAACTCCGATGACCTGCTCTGGGCCCAGTACAATAGGTAAATTATTACCTATATTAACAATAAAAAGCACACTAGGAAAATCCATTTGGAAATTTAAAAATACTTCTAGAAATTCATGGGTCAAAGAAAAACTCGGGATAAAAATTTAGAAGTTCATTAGACTTAAACAATGGTAGCAACCTTATGCATACAGCCAAGTGTCACGAGGTGAAGTTGCTGTCTTAAGTGCTCACACAAGAAAATGGGGCTTGACATTATTAATCTACATTGGAAGAAAGAATAATGAAATTAATAGAAAATATATAACAGAAGAGATCAACAAAGAAAGGTCAACCTTGAAATGACTACTTAAACTTAAAACAGCCAAATTCCAGAAAAAAATATGTGAAACAATGATTGAAAGACAGTGGCCATCAGAGAAGATGATAAGATGGAAAACACGAGCAGAGCCTCATGTTTAGCATCTCGAGAGTTTCCGGGCCAGGGCTGGGGATGAGGCTCCTCACTGGGTGGGGCAGAAGAGTCCAGGGAGAGCCCAGCACCTGGCAGGATGGGGTCTGGGGCCCAGAGAGCTGTACAGAGGACCCCAGACATGGAAAGGAATGTCTGATGCTAGGAAAGGAAATAGCATCCCAAGTTCACAATGCATCAGGAACCGTGCTTCCTCAGGGACGTGGGGAGCTCATCATGCACCAGACAGAGCTCCAAAGGGACCAGAGAGGAGAGAGAGAAGATCGTGGAGGGGTGGGTGTGTTTACTGCCTGGCCATGGTGACGATTCATGGGTATATACACACTTCCGGACTGACCAAGCTGTACACTTGCAGTTTATCTAGCAAATATATCTCAATTGGTTAAAAAATATAAAGTAGTTAAAACTAAAACTCTAAAAAGGAAAACTTAAATATTTCTTAGTTTCTCTATTTCAACAATTTCATATGCAAAGTTGACTCAAGAAAGAAGGGTGAATTGTCCTATATCTATGAAAAATTAAGGCAGAATTTTAAAGCTATTCCAAAAAGAATACTATTACTAGAAAAATTTTCATGCCTATTTTAGCGAGTATTTAAGTGGAATTGATTTTTTAAAAAAAGCTAGAAGTAAGTCCGAATGTTCAGTACTCATTAAAATTGTAAAATATGCTCAACTCAACAATTAAGAGCCACGGATGGTGGCACAAGCCTATAATCCCAGCACTTGGAAGGCTGAGGCAGGAGGATCATTGAGAGTTTGAGGCCAGTCTGAGCTACACAGTGAGTTCAAGACTGGTCTGACTCACATGGCAAGACCCTGTCTCAAAAAAAAAAATTACAGAAAAAATCTAGTCAGGCATAGTGGTGCACTCCTGTACTCCCAGCACTTGGAGGCTGAGGCAGGAGGATCATTGAGAGTTTGAGGCCAGTCTGGGCTACACAGTGAGTTCAAGGGCAGCTTGGACTACTAGTGAGACCCTATCTCAAAACAAAAGAGAAACAAAAAGCAAAAACCAAACAAAAATAGAGAAAAAGGGGCTGGGGATTTAGCTCAGTGGTTCCGCCGCCTGCCTCGCAAGTGAAGGTCCCGAGGTCAATCCCGGTACTAAAAAAAAAAAAAAAAGGAAAAAATCCAACCGTAGTAAGAGTTATCAGAATTATCTCAATAATTGATAAAGCTGACAAAATTTCAATCCTGACACAAATATTTCCAGAGAATAAAAAAACTGCTCAGACTCCACAACTGATTGTATGAGGTTAAAATATTTTAATGCAAAATCCAGTAAAAAAGGGAAAAATCAATTTCATCCATGAAGGAAAATACTAAAAAGTCCATCAGTATATAAAAAAGACATGTTTTGATTAGTTAGGTTTCTTCCCGGAAATATAAGATTGGTTTAGCATTAAAAATACATTAGGTTATACCTTAACAAATTAGAAGAGAAAATTATCTCAATAGATGGAGAAAAAAGCTTAATAAAATCCAACACTGTGTTCCAAAAACTCTTAGGAAACTACGGCTGTGGAGAACTTAATCTGATAAAAAGTCCTATCAAACAATCTTTAGCATATCATATATTTAATGGTAAAGTGTTAAAAGCACTTCCTTTAAGATCAGAGATAAGGTAAAGGTATTCATTACTATGACTTTCATTATATTCTCTATTTTATGACAAGAATGTTCACATCAAGACTATTCAACATTGAACCAGAGATCCTAATAGTGTGATCAGATTTAAAATAAAGGAAGGATGGAAGGAAGGAAGGAAGAAAAAGCATAAGAATTAAAAAGGAAAAATTCAGGCCAGGGATTTAGCTCAGTGGTGCCGCCACCTGCCTTGCAAGCGCAAGGTCCTGAGTTCAATCCCTGGTATCAAAAACAAACAAACCAAAAAAACCCCTCAAACTGTCCTCTCAGACAATACAGTTTCCTTTGTGGTGGAACTCAAAAGATCACCAGATAAACTATTGGACTTAATAACTTTTATAGGGTTGATATGTTCAAAAATCAACATATAAAAAGTAATTTGCATTTCCATATAACAACTAGTTAAAGAAAATAATTTTAAAAGTACTATTCACTTCAGCAATAAAGCAAAGTATCTAGAATAAATCTTGACAATAAATATGCAGGTCCTGATTGGGACAATTAAATTTTATTGAAAGAAATGAAGAAAATCTGAATAAAAATGGAATAATAATATACTATGCTCATGGATAAAAAGATCCAATGCTAAAGAAGTGAAAGCAAAATGGAATGCAAATACAAAGCACAACTTTTTTTGGTAACCAGGAAAATGAACTAAATTTCTACCATATTAACAAAGATTGAGAGCTCAGTACCAAATGTTGGAAATGATGCAGAACAGTGGAAGCTGGCTTGGGAATGTGAGTCCGTACCATGGTTTGGGTTCTTGTATAAAAGTTGAGTGCGCCTGCCCACGTATACCATAGCCAGGATTTCTGCTCCTTTGGAGTGGGTCTCTGCACGTGTATGCTGCTGGGATGTGCCTGCAGAACCATTCCCAGGAGTGTTGTTTGCAACTGTAAATAAGCCAGGCACAGCCTACATGTCCACCAACGGAGAACTTGCATAGAGTGTACCACAGTGAAAATGAACAGACTGCCCCTCAACGCAGCTCCATGGAGAAATCAGAAAAACAATGTTAGGCAAAAAGACAGGAAGGAAGGAAAGACAGGGAGGGAAGAGGAGAGGGAAAGATAAAATAATTCATAAGAGTAGTGTGGAGAGCGGTGTTAGCCATAGAGACTCCATTTTAATCTTACCCTCCATTATAAAGAGCAAGGAGACTATGTTATGAGGAACCGTGTTCTTGCCAAGTCAGATGTTTATTATGATGAACGTTCTGTAACCCCAAGAAACAAAGAAGCCCATGAGAGCGGGGAATTTCCAAAGAACTAGAGAACAGGGAAGTAGGTGTCTCTGGATAAGGGTCATGATTAATGACCAGACTCACCTAGTGTATAAAAGAAAGGTGAAAAATAAACTTAGGCGCTCGGTCTTTGGGAGCCCTCCCGACTCTATCTCTTTGTCTTTATTTTTCTTCATCCTCACTGCCCCATTCAGGTACTGTTCGACAAGTGACGGCGGGCTCCGTCAGAGTAGACAATACTAACCAACACCATTTAGAGACCCATGTGTCTGCTAATGTTATGAAGGAGAGAATGGAACCAGCGACACCAAACACAGTGATGCTGACTGGGCCGTGGAGGTGGAGGGCAGTGGGCACGAGGGGCTTCTCACCCTGGACATCCCCGGTCTCTTACGCTGGGTGGGGTGGGACAGGGGTACTCTTTTGATTCTTTAAACCATGCATTTATACTGGAGGTACTCCTCTGTAGAAATGAAATATTTCACAAGGAAAGATCTCAAAACAAAATAAAAAGACTGTAATAAAAGGCTGTAAATTATTGAGCTACTTCGGCTGCTATGGTTGAGATAAGAGCTCAGTTCTGTAATAAAATCCACATCCATGAACCGGAAGGCTCTGTGTTCTTTATCTCTGAATGACTCATATTTTCCTTCGGGATCCCTTGAACAAGAACCCGCAGTAAGGATTTGAGAGCACAGAGCACGGCGTATTTTTCTGCAGACCAGAGAGTAGAATATGAGGCGGAAAAGCAGGACGGGGAGACAGGGAAGCAGAGAGACTGCTACGGGGAAGCTGGAAAAGTCAACAAATGGTGTGCTCTTGAGGTCTTTGCTGAGCAGAGGCCTCACCTTCAGCAGGACCCCAAGAAGCACAGACTGGCAGGGCAGAGCTGGTGCCACACCTGCAAAGCATGTGCATGGCACACAGGCTGTGCATGGTGAAAAGCACCAGACACATTCGTTTCCTTGAAGACAGCAGTGGAAAGGGAAAAACGCACTATTTAGCAGAATTTATTTTTTCACTCATGTCTTAGGATCATCTTCCAGGAGTCTTCTCTGACTTCCCCCTGGCCAGACCAGATTTTGCAGTTCAGTGCCTCCCTGAGGCCCTGTGCACTTCCCTTTCACTGTCTTTGCCCACAGGACCCCGTTAGCCAGGGGGTACCTGCCTCTCCCAGCAGGCTCTGTTTCTGGACCTTCACTGGCACATGGGAATTCACCAGTCATTTGCTGAATGAGAGTGAAGGCATAGTGAGGGAACCAGGGGGTAAGGAAACAGGTTGTATCCAGAGCCAAGAAATAGTAGGAGGAGACAAAAATAGAGCTGAAGGAATAAAACAGAAAATCCAGACTTGCTTCATTTTAACACCATTCTCAAATTACCAATATGCTTTTAATGTATCTTATTTGAATCTTTCTTAATTTTTTTTTTCCGGGGCATCCCGAAGAAAGGCATAGCAGGTGAGATCCATTGTTAAATGCATTCTTTTCCTGCTGGAGTTCTGAAGAGATGGGCTTGGGGTAAGGCAGGCACAGATTGGCAGGCCATTTTGATTAATGATAAAGTAGCTGTTTGAAAATGTAGTTCATGCTGGGCACGGTGGTGCACAGCTGTAATCCCAGCACTCGGGAGGCTGAGGCAGGAGGATCACTGTGAGTTTGAGGCCAGCCTGGGCTACATAGTGATTTCGAGGCCAGCCTGAAACACATGGTGAGACTCTGTCTCAAAAACAAAAACCAAAAACCAACAACAAAGAAGAAAATGTGGCTCATGTTGTGAGCAGCACCAAGCCCTGGTGAGACTGACTTTCCCACACAGCAAGGGCCACCAGGGCAGCCTGGGTTGGTGCCGCCTGTGGCCAGGTGGCCCCCAAACGGGGGGGGGGGGAAGAGCAACTCCAGGCTGATGTTCCAGTCCCTGCTTCCACATCCGGGATCAGGTAGGCCACCTTCCTCAGGGCACATTGTGGGGTGCACAGAAGTCAGGAGAGTAACACTAATCGATGTCCTTCACAGGGAAGAAAACGCCAGGGGCAACGAGTAGGCTTCCTGGGACGGATACCTGTTCTAAAGTAACGGCAAAACAAGTCTTTTTTATACTAATGGGTGTTGCTTGAAGTTTGTCATCATCGTGACAGATTAAAATTCAACAACAGACAGATTAAAATTCAACAACAGAAGAGAGAAAGAGGCCAGATATAAAGAAACAATATACGGCCACTTTCACAGTGGAGAAATATTCTAAATTAGCAGTCACTTTAGCATTTTTAAAATAAACCTTTGGGAGGAATAAATATCACATGTACATGGTACAAAATTCAAAAGGAATAAAGTGTATAGAGAAAAAGTCTTTCTCCTACACTGGCGATTGCTTTTAAGGGTTATTTTCTAATTATACACAATCAGAAACTCTTTCAGTTGCTCTTTTGCCCTGATTTGCTGAGTAGTCTTCAGTTTACAAATGGACACATGGAGCTTAATCGGTTTGAATGTCCCCTGGAATTCAGATTGCATGGTGCATTTTTGTTTCTAGTTTTTAAAGCTAACTCATTAGCTTTTAACTATGCCTCAAATGCAGCACATGAAACCCAACTCTGCTGACTCGCTTGTGCTCGGAGTTCTAACCAAGACTATCAGAAATAAATTGAATTCTGGGCTGTTTTGTCTACTCCAACATCCCAGCAGACCCCATCTCTCATCTCTCCCAATTTCCATACAGAACTTCCAAGGTAATTCCCTGGAAGAGGGGCACAAGTATTGCCTCTGAGGCCCATGGGTGTCTGATGTCATGTCGGGGAGGTTGCCATACAGCCAGGATCGGGCAGCAGGACAATGGCACTGATGGCCCGAAGGCAGTGGGGACACGGCTGCAGCTTTGCTCTGCTGGCAGGCACACCGGGTCTTTAGCTTGAAGACAACTGGAGAAAGTCGGCAGTCTGTTCAGTTACACACAGTGACAGCTTCCCTATCTCTTGGTTTGAATTGCTACAACTTGAAAAAGAGTGTTTTTCATGGTTTTAACTTTAATTCATATATAAAAATATATAAAGTATATATTTATGATTTTTTGGTTAGGAAAACCAAACAAGTGACATGTATAGTCGCTTACCCCAAATTGAGACAGCAATTATCAAATAAGCTAATTGTTTTCTTTTTTTCTTTAAGTGATTGGCCTGCTGGATTGGGGCCAGGCATGTGCTCGGAGAGGAGCCCACTGAGAAGCTGACTGGAGCCCAGGGAGGGAGCTGCACTTCCCCTTTGGAGCTGGGATGGGGCTGCAGGGGCTGGCATCAGAGAGAGGCTTTCCAGGTGGAGCTCTGGGAAGGGGGCCTCGAGGCCCTCAGGGACCAGGAGGTGGGGCCGGGCCACCCGCCCTGAGAGCTGCTGCCTTGCAGCCCTGCCCATCCTTAAAAGAATAGAATAGATTACAGAAGTAATTCAGAAGTGTAGATAGATAACAACCACTATGTTTCTACCTGCTTATATTTGTTTATATTAGGGAATTGGCTTATTTATATTAATTTTATATCCTACTTCTTTTTTTTTGGTACCAGGGATCGAACTCAGAACCTTGAGCTTGTGCAGTAGGCAGCGGCACCACTGAGCTAAATCCCCCGCCCCATATAATCCTACTTTTTAACGAAATTCTCTTATTATTTACAATAGCTTTCCAGATATATATTTTTCTCTTTACTTTTATTAATCTGATGAATCATATTAGTTGTTGTCCTACTATGAACAAACTGAGATTCTTGGACTAGATTTTGTAATAAAGGATTGTCTTTAAATGTACCATTGGTTCTCTTTGGTAATATTTGGGATTTTTTTTTTAAAGTGAGACTGGGCTATAGTTTCTTTTTTGGCAATCTTTGTCAGGCATAATATTAATGTTAGACTCGTTAAAGAGTTGGGAAGATTTCTTATTTTTCCAATCCTCTCAGCTGGATTAAATAGCATTACAATTATTTCATCTTTTATGGTTTGACACAATTCTCTCGTGAATATATCCTTTGTCTTAAACACAGATTCCTCAGTTCAGCCTCAGCTTTATAAATTATGAAGCTCAGAAAAGCTATGTTAAAAGTCTTCCCTCCCAACCTCCACTCCTATCCTCAGACTGTCTTGACCCATCATAGGATTCTGAGATTTATTTGGTGATTTAGAGCAAACTATAAAGCAACTATCTTGTAACTGGAGCGTTTAGGATGGGTTAGGGGAGGAGGCAGGATGGGAAGAAGAGAGAGAATGTGGAGGTGTTTGCAATCATACGGGGAGAACTGGTGAGATCCTGGAACAAAGCTATGCGGTGGTGATGCAGAGGAGGGGTATGAGGAAAGGCTTGGTGGGAGAAGTCAAAGGCGCGGTCACTGACTTCACGTTGAAAATGCAATGAGATAAAGAACAAAAATAACTCTTGCTGGGGGTGTCGCTCAGTGGCGCAGTGCCTGCCTGGCAAGCGAGAGGCCCTGGGTTCCATTCCTGATACCAAAAATGAAAACGAAAAAGAAAAAGATGACTACCATGCACAGAGGAAACATCTAAACATCCAAATGTCCCTCAGCCGAGAGTGGGGAATTAAAATGTGGCATATGCACGCAGTGGGGTATTGTCAGCAGCGAAACACGAGCAAACCTTCAGCACAGCATGCCAGGTGCAAGAAGCCAGTCATGAAAGATCACGGATCAGACGATCACATTCACACGAAATCTTCAGAGCAGGCAAATCAACAGGGACACAAAGTTGATTAGCAGTTGCCTATGACTGAGGTAGGGATAGAATGGGGAGGTCTTTGCTAATGGAGATGGGGTTTCTTTTGGGGGTGATGGAATTTTTTTATTTTTAAAAAATGTTTATTAGTCCGTATTTGTTGTACATAATTACATTCATCACGGAGACTTGGTATGTGTATATGACACATTTTAATTTTTTTACTTCTCTTTTCCCCCTTCTCTGCCCTCCCTTCATTTCTTGGTCCCTTTCCCTTTGCAAAGATCTGTCTCCTGTTTCTTTTGCTTTAAAGTTAGATCACGGTGACAATTGCACAATTCTATGCGTATACTGAAAACTATGGATTAATATACTTGAAAACAAAGGTGAATTGCATGGCATGTGAATTACATCTCATTCAAGCTGATTTTCTGAAAAGATTACTATAGCACGAATCATAGATATATCTTTTGGGGACTAAATCCAATGGTGATGACAGTTGTCAATAATGATGGGAGTAAAGGAAGAGAAACAGGTTTGGAAGGAAAGCTGCTGAACTCAGTTCAGAAAGGCAGTCAACAGTGACTGAAATAATGAAGAGGATAAACTGTCATGAGATGAAGATGAGACAAAGAACTATAGAATCATAGTTGCATTCACTCTCCAGCATATTATCCTGAAATTTTATATTAAAATAGACTGAGCTCCTAAGTTTTAAAAAATGAGCTGAAATTTTCCTCTGCTTTCCATTTTCTTGTTAAAAGATATTTGATTTGTTTATTACAACTGTTACTCAATGGAATGTTAATTTTCACTTGTCATTACCAGATTCTAAAAGGATTGCAAGGTTAAACTGTTTTTTAAACCTTTATCTGGAGTTGGATGGGAAGAAGAGTTACTTTCGGATACCGTGAGAGGAGAACCGTCCCCTCTGTGACTGGCTTCCTTCTACAGGTCCGAAAGCCCAGCTCATTTGTAGGACAGGGAGGGGATAGAGTAGGGAGTGTGTTAATTCAGACAAATGGAAGAAGTCACACACCTGATCCAGCAGCAGAGGGTCCTGGCCTCCACACCGGAAGCTTTGGTAATTCTGTTGGTTAAGGCTTCACACTGACCTCTCCCGCGGAGGCTGCAGGCAGATCTCTAGCAAACTGGCATCCTGCGGGGAGCCAGGTACTTCAAAAATTTCTAATTAGAGGTTAAAGGTTATCTAAGCTCCGCTGCCAAACTGACTGCCTGACCTTAAAAGCCAAACAGAGGCTACTGTCCTTTCTTTCCCTCTCTTCTGTAGCCATGACCTCAATTAGAAACACAATTTTACATGCGCACATGAAGCTGTGTGACACATCAGGGCTGAGAAAACAGGAAAGGAGCCTGACCATACCCTTTCCATCTTTGCTTCTGAGCATTCACAGCACAGGTGTTTACACATCGGGCTGCAGTTCCAGCCAGGGCAGGGAGAAGACCAAAGCGTGCAGGAAATCATGACATCCATGCAATTCTTCTGTCTCAGAAGCATATTCCCTACATTTTTAAAAGCAAGATAATTTCAGTCTTGAGTTACAGATTGTATTGCCCATAGAAAAATCCATCCAGACCACAATGGATACAGCTCAATTTATACTGTGCTATTCCTGCCAAGAATAAATGAACAAATAAAAAGCCTAGAGATTACCTAGTTGATACATTATTTCACTGATTGTGGTTTAGGAACTATATCTAACCCAACTGTAAGCTGTCACCACCTGTACCAGCAAATGTGGTCACACATTATAGCTCTCTGCAAATTACCATGGATCCAAATCCCTTTGTCTTTCAATAGCAGCCTTTATCTGCAAAATGATCCTGGTTGTTTCTGGAGGTCCCTGAACAAGTGCTTTCCCTGTATCCACAGGGATACACTTTTCACCTTCCATCATGCGACAGAATCATTTGTCCTTCTGGGTAAGATGTACCAAGCACCTGTCGCCTACTGCATGTGAGGGATGAAGCTGAATGCTACAGACATCTCTGCCCCTAGTGCTTTTCCTTGCCTGCTCCAGTTCTCATTTGTCAACGTTCATGGATGACAAGTGGCTGAAAAGTCTTTACCACTTCCTCTGCTAAGGAAGTCCACTATGAAGCACTCAACCAAGAATGTGCTGAGAACACTGTCTCCTAATGTCCCCAAGCTTCTGATTTCAGGCACCAGAACAAAGCTAGGTTCCATCTGGAGATGGGGACATGGCCCTTCTCATCTCTGCTGCTCTTTGACATCTAGCCATGAAGCAAGGCCTTTTATTATGGTAAAAAGACGCTATCATTAGCTTCATGAAGATACTTTCCCTTGCTTTGAACACACTTACCCTGTGGCCATTCTCGCCACTTTCTGAAGCAGTTCTGGAAGTCCTCATGCCTGGATATGTTTAAAAGGTGTGATCAAAAATATGGTGAATGCTGCTGTCATGTGCCATCCAATGGAAAGGCATAAAAATGATGCTGTGTCCTCATCCACATTATTCACCAGATCTGGCACTGTGTGACTTCTGGCTCTTTCTCAAAGTCAAAATGATCACGAAAGGGAAATGTTCTGAATTGACACAGGATACAATAACAACAACAGTGCAGCTAAAGACACTCACAAAAGAGGACTTTGAGAAGTGCTTCAGAAAGTGCCAAGAGCAATGGGATACGTGTGTTCAAAATAAGAGGCACAAGTGGCAATGTATCTTTACTGTAAAACATTTCTAGAAAAATTTACACACACAGTTTTTTGATCACACCTTGTAAAACAAACCTACCTGAAGATTCTTCCCAGAGCTATGGCAATAGTTGTGGTAATTTATGCATAGCTATAATATGTGACCACATTTCTTTGCTTCTACAGGTAAATACAGGTGACAACTGGGTTAGAGATAGTTTCGAAACCATAATTAGTTGACATAGCAGCAGTTCAGTGAACTTTGGCCATTCTTCAGCCTTCTCAAAGCACAGGCTGACATGGCAGATGTTGGTGCAAGTTTCTTCAATTATTTGGAGATAATTATAAATAGCAAGGAGCTTGAGTTCAGAGCTGGGTGTAGTACTGAGTCCAAAGTGTAAACAATTCTTACAGACACTGAAAAAAGATCCCAGGCAAAAGATCCCAGGCAAAAGGGTACAATGTGGTCAGGAAAAAGATTCAACTCTATAAGACAGAAAATGCATGTTTTCTTAGTCACTTTCTTTGTCACTGAGAAAAAACTGACACCACAAGTCAGAAGAGGAGAGGTTTATTCTGGCTCAGTTTTCAGAGGTTTCTGCCTGTAGTTAGCCAGCTCTAAGGTAGGAGGGTGTGCAGGAAGGGTCAGGTGGAAGAGTGTGGCTCACGTTATGGCAAGTAGGAAGCAGAGAGAGAAGGGAGGAGGTGGGGAGGGAGATGAACCCTTCTGGGTCACACCCCGGTGGACAGGAAGCTGTAGCACCCCCAGAATCCAAGCTCCTTCCAAACACGTGAGGCTATGGGGGCCATTTTAGAGCTAAACCATGACAATGTCAGGGAAGAACATGGAGCAACTTCCCAGGGCAAACAAAACAAAACAAAAACAGACTGCAGGTCAATCAGATGCTATTACTGAGGCGTTTGCTCTGGGAAGTCGAAGGAGAAATTAAAATAATCCATCCAACAGCAAATCTGCACTCCCCATGGGCGAGGAAACATTGTAGTCCTGCAGAAAATGTTTCTACTCTACTGTGAAAAAGAATAGAAGAGTATGATACCTGCAATGGCTCACACTGGGTATTTATGACTAGGATGTAGATCAAGTAGCTTGAAATTTGAAATTTCTGGCATTTTGCTCAGTTTTGTTTCTTCCATCATTTAAATAACCTCAAATGATATATTTACATTTGTTAAAGGTTTTAAACCAAAGAATAAGTAAATTCTCAGCCTATGATTTGAAATAATGGTAATCAAGTATTGATTTTAAAGTAACATGTATTTGTTTTGGTTTTTTGGGGGGGGTACGGGGGATCAAACTTGGGACCTTGAGCTTTCAAGGCAGGGGGCAGCACCACTGAGCTAGATCCCAGGCTAGTAACATGTATTTGTTGTAAACAATTTTTTAAAATACAGAAGTAAGTACCTAAGATAAAAAAAGGTCTCTCTGGTTCTATCCTGATCTCTACTCCACAGAAGTAGCACTGTTATATTTGCAAAATATCCTTGTCTTCCCCAGTGCATATACATCTTCCTTCTAGAATATGGATTTATATTATGTAAACTGTTCTTTAATTTGGCTTTCATCACTAAATAATTTAAATTGAATGTCTTTGCATGTCAGCAAATAAAGGGCTATGTCCTTTTTGAAAGTCTAGTATCACATCCCACTATATGATGTTACATTATTTATTTATCCAGTTTCCTATTGATGGACACTTGGGTTATTTCCAGGTTTTGATAAGAGACAGTTCTGAAATTAAAATCTTTGTACATTCATATTTGTGCTTTGTGTAAGCATTCTGGGAATGCTTAATTTCTCATGTTCTTAATTTCCTTTATTTTTAATTTATTTTTCATAACTGTCATGTAGTTCTAAGAAAGCAAAATGAATGCTTGTTTGGTTTCTTAGGACATTTCTCAAAGGTACAGACACCTGAATTAGTCTGTTTTTAGTGTCATGAAATACCTGAGGTAGGCTCCTTTATGTAAAAAGAGGTTTATATTGGCTCATGATCTGGAGGTTCAAGGTCAGGGGGGTGCATCTGCCGATGGGTCTGGCTGGCAGAGTGGCTAAGTAGGGATGGGCATCGTGTGGCAAGAGACAGGAGCGTGTGTGGGTGTGTGTGTGTCCTCCTGACCTCTCTCCTCTTATAAAGCCACCCATATTTCCTTATGGGCTCCACCCATAGCCTTATCTAATTCTCACTTCTCAGAAGCTCCACCTCTAGACACTGTCATCAGATTAAGTTTCCACCCTCCTAATATCTACAATGAGGTATTAAACTGCAACACAACATAAGAACGCTTGAGGGCAACACTCAGACTGTGCCAAACCATCCAGCATGTTCCTGGTTAAAAACACCGATTTCATCAGTACCTATACCTTACACGTATAGCTCACTTAGATGTAAATTGTAAGTACCTGGGAGCAGCCAGAGGCTTCTTTTCAAGGTCTAGGGATGGAAAATACGCTC